GGGAGTTCTGCTCCCCTTTCTAGTAATTTATCTGTTTAAAAGGAGGAAAAAAAAATGGGGATGCAGTTTTTGCAAATGTACAATCCAGTAGACTCAGTAAAATAGTCCCTTGTGTTGCAAACACAAGCCATCATAATTCAGGAGGGGAAGAGATGGGGATGAGAGCCAAGCCAAATGGATTACCTTAGCTTTAGGATCCTGTATGCTTGCAATATCACCTGAGCTCCAGGTTCTCAGAGCTTATTTACATAGCAAAGTTTCTAAATAGAAAATCTGTATTTAGCGCGTGACAGCTATTTTTTGATGGTGGGGAGGGAAAAGCGTGGCCGTACGTATAAAAGCTATAAAGAAGGATAATTTGAAGTAGAAATGTAGTGGGAAATGAATGCAAATAGAGGACATTTAATTTTAAAATGAGGCAATAATCGAACTGAGCCAGACTTTGGCCTAGAAAGAGGTATGAAATAAAGAAGAGAGATAGTTATGTCTTTAACTATATTTATACAACATAAAAGGCCTTTGGAGTTAATGTAGAGTGCTTTATGGAAGTCTTTAGGTTTCCAGGCAACAAAAAAGTTGAAGGGGGCAGTGAGTGAGAAAGAGTGAGCAAGGAAGAGCACACAAAGAAAATTAGCATTATTTTTGCCATTCAACCAGTGTTTTCAGCGCTACAAGCAAACCATAGAGCCTTTAGTTATTGCGTAGGCTTGGGATCAGCAGTGAAGGATTAGTGTGAGTCTGTGTGTGGGCGTGGGTGTGTGTGCGTGTGCACGTGTGTGAGCAAGTGGGTGTGAGAGGGTGTGAGAGGGTGTGTGAGACTGGCATACGAGAAAGAGTACGGAGGTGGGTGTACAGATTATTTTCTCCAAAGCTGTTTGCCAGCTGCAGGGGTGAGTGAGAATTTCTTTTTTTCTGAAAGGGGATATTAAAAAAAAAAAAAAGCACTGAGTTGATGCAGTATTTGTGATATTAAAATTTGACCCAACGTGGTATTTGCATGAGTCACAATTGCAAAGTATTGACCAGTTTTGTAACCTGACAATTAGGAAAAAAATGTGATATTTATTCTTGTGCTTTGTATTTGTATGTAGTGTAGAGGCTGTGGGTTTACTCTTTCTTTTCATGCAAAGCAATACAATAAGAGTATTTTACAACTGGGAACCATAATTTCTGGACTAGAAATGATCAAATTTGGGAGGGAACAGGAAAAAAAAAGACATTGAGTTTTTTCTATATGTAATGCTCTATCTTTTTTTATAAACAAACAGTTATTATTTTGACTTCTTTTTAAAAATCGGCCAAGATGCTGGTCCTCTGTTAAGCCTTTCCTTGGTTTCGTGACCTGCTATGCTGTTTTATTCCTAAACAGTGAGTTCATTTAAAATGAGTACTAATACTGTGAACATACTTCTGGTGCTTTTCTTAAACAAAGACAGAGCTTGCAACCAAACGATTCCCACCCGACCCCACCGCAGCACCCTCGTTTCCTCCAGCATGTGCGTTCACACATGCAGAATATCTTTCATATTCCTTTTTCTCTGTCAGTTGGCGCTATCATTTGAGGCCTATTTTCAGGGAACTGCAGCAGACGTGATTAGAAGTATCTGTTGACTCAGTTCCATGAATTTTCTCCCTAAGTGCTATTTAACAGAAGAAGACCCTTTTGAAATGAGAGTTCACTGTGAAAAAAGACAGCGAGCTTGTCTCACGGATACTCTTTAAACCAAGGTGCCCTGGAGCGCACCACACATATGGCAGAATTATCTACCTAAAGAAGGGGCCCCGTTGTTCAGACATGGCAATCAACAGTAAGCTGAGATTCACGCCTGTAAGCTGGGTAGATGTTACCATAAAACTGTAGGAAAAGCAGCGCCACCAATGCAGCATTCCAGGAGGATCATCTGACATGTAGCAGCATTCATAAGCTTCAACTCTCTGAGTCGGGAGGAGCCCTGGCTCCCTCCACACTTGGGAATAACATGGGCAAGCCTGGGGGAAAAGGGTTTTCTTGAGCAGTACCATCTAGCGTCCTGCTGTGGATGACCCATGTACTTACGGTGAGATGGTCTTGCATCAAACTATGCTCTCCTCAGTTTGTCCTGACCTTTGCCCCTTGAAACAGGGCAGCTCTGGGCTGCCTTGTAGGGGACATGCAATTTTCTTTATTTTTCTTTAGCCTGGAGGTCTATTCTTTTTTCTCACTCTCTCACTGGAAGTCACTAATGTTAATCATTAATCACGGTGCATCTCCTCTTGCCTTGCCATGTCCTCCTCTCCCACCACCCCTGCTGCTCGGTGTTTGAGGTGAAAATTAAATCTCTGTCCTGGAAAGCAGATATGGTGGTGGGGACGGGCCATAAGGGAACCCTTTGCACTAGAAGCATTTGCCTTCACCCCCTGCAATAAAAGTGTTTGCATGTACCAATTCAGGACAGCTGAACTCTCCACCCAGCAATGTTTTTCTCTTCCAGAAATTATGGATGCTCATTGTCAGCAGCACACATTCAGTGCTGTGATAACAGGAGTGCTATGCAGTTTATTCGCCTCTTTGTTATTTCATTTGCATGCTACCAAGCTTAGATGTTTATAAGTATATGCCAGTAATACATATCTATCTATATATACATATATCAAATGCAACAAAGGAGCACTATTGCAGAGTTAAGTTTGTCTCCACAAAAGAAACACTCAATCCTTTCCCATGTCAAAGACTGGTTTTAATGAAACTGTGTATTGAAAAATAGTTAAGCATTAGCTTTTGTGATTGTAATCAGTTTGGGGTTATGGTGCAGGTTTTCTGAGCAATTCTAGTTTTAAAAGGCACCAGTTTTGGCTTCATATTGCTCCGTATTGACATAATCTGACAGAAAATACAATAACATTGATTTGTTTGGCAACCAAAAGATGGCACCTATCATATCAATCAATTCAACAACACCTGGCTTTCTGTATATGTTAACCACTTCAATGTTATCCTGCTTCTGTTTTTTAGTGACTGTGAGGCCTACAACGCAATTATATAATTATTTTCTCATTAAAACAGAAACCTGTGTTGTGTTTCTATAAAAAGGGCTGTTCCTTCACACTCACGCAGCGCGTCGAGGCAGCGCTGGCAGCCAGCCCTGGGGCGGTGGTCTGGGTGCTGCAGTTGCAGG